CCCGCGGGTTCCTCTGCAACACGCAGATGTGTGCAATCACACAAGCAAGCACTGCAATCGGAACAGTGACCACGGATTCCCTGCTACACACACAGGCGCTTGTGCAGTCGACCACACACAAGCACCGCTTAGAGTTGTTCCGGGTTTTGGTTGCATGGGGGTTCATGGGCTCCTGCGGCCCTAAAGACTGGCATGTTCCTTGCTTATGCAGCACACCTGCGCATGTGCAATCACGGGGAATGCCCCCAGACACAACAGACATTCGTCTGTCGGCCGGCACCGACACACCCACACCACAGAACCCTGACCACGGGCTCCTTGCTTCTGCCACACACATGTTTGCGTTTACCGCGAAAACATACAAGTCCCAAAACAACCGCAAGCGAACCCTTGATCTTAGCTTCTCTGGTTCTGCAACACACCTGCGGCCGCACGTGTGCGCAATCATACACATAAGCATCTCGAAGGAGCCGCGACCACGGAAATCTTACCTCGCAACGCACATGCTTGCGCAGTCTCACACGCACTATCATGGCACCTCATGACTCGGGCTCTTGTAAGCCTGATCTGCAGCACACATGCACGTAAAGTCATATGGCCGCACATGCGCCCGACGATGCCAGCCGGGACAGGTCCTTGCACAGACAGGTACCTGCTCAGGCACGATCAAATTGTCGCTGCAAGCCGGAAGTGACCACCAAGCTCACGCAAGCACAATGCTCCCCGCGAGCAATCGTGACCACGCATGCAACACACAGGCACCACAGAAGAACCCATGACAGCGGACTCCTTGGTTTCGAAAGCATGCAGGTCTGAGCAATCGCCGTCGCAGCAACAGTGACAGTCGATTGCTTGCCTACGCCAGTACATGTACACGCGTACTCATCGTTTACAAGCCGCAAACGGCAATTGCGACCATTACTTCCTGGCTTCTGCAACACACATGTGTGTGTGTGCAACCAAATGGAATGACCCCAGGTGGCAGATAGCATTCACGCATGCACCTGCGTACCATTACGGCACGTGACCCTAGCCACAAAAGACATGTAGCTGCCGAAACACCCACGCAACAGAACTGTAACAACGGGCTCCTTGCTTCTGCCACACACATGTGCGTGTTCGCCACCAATACATCCTAGTCACAGAACAACTGCAAGCGAGCCATTGATTTCAGCTTCTCTGGTCCTGCAAACACACAGGCGGCCGCACGTGTGTGCAATCATACACACAAGCATCTCGAAGGAGCGGCGACCATGGTTTCCAATCTTCTCAACACACATGTGTGCGTAGTCTCACACGCACTAGCGTGCGCAATCAAACACCACCACAAGCACCTCGACCACGCGGTTCCTTGCTTCTCTGCAGCACGCAGATGGGTGCAATCACACAAGACAGCACGGTAAGCGGAATAGTGACGACGGACTCCCGGCTTCTACATACATATGCGTGTGCAATCGATCACACACAAGCACCGTTTAGGGCTCAGGATTCACGCTGGGTTTTGGCTGGGGATCATAGGTTCCTGCAGCCCTAAAGACTGGCGCGTTCATTGCTTGTTTAGCACGCGCTGCAGCACGTGCGCGCTGCGCGCATGTGCAATCACGGAGAATGGCTCCAGACACAACAGACACGCGTCGTTGTCTGCCGACGCCGACACACCCACGCAACAGAACTGTGACCGCGGGTTCCTTGCTTCTGCCACACACGTGTGTGCTTTCCCACAACGACAATTAAAAGGCACACACACACACACACACCACAGAAAAAAAACAAAGAGGACCCGCGCCCTTAGTTTCTCTGGTTCTGCAACACACAGGCGGCCGCGCATGCACAATCATACAGAAGCATCTCAGCGGAGTGGTGACCACGGATTTCGGACCCCTCAACACAGATGTGTTTCCTGACCACTCTCCAGGCGCGCGCGCGCACGTGCGCGAGCAATCAAAAATCAAGCACCTCCAGCAGAACCGCGACCACGCAGGTTCCTTGCTTCTCCAACAGAGCAACGCACACTTTTCAAAGCACTTGAGCCTACAGTCACGCACGTCGTACTAGTCTTGGAAAACAGTAAAAAGGGGTTTCTGCAAAGTTTGTTACCCCCCTTGGAACTCACACGATCCTCTCGAGTGGGTTCCACTGCAGACGGCGCTTCTATGGGCTATTAGCTCATCTCTCCAGAGAGAACTGAAGTTCACCGAAAAGAGTACTCTGTACACACCACAGCTTCAAACTACTGATGTCGGGCCTCTTCTTGCGGAGGAAAAGGCTTTTGTTCTAGTCCCGATCAGCCCATACAGAGTAAAACAAGGACGTATGTGAGCTTTGGCATCTTGGGGCCCTTTCTTGTTCTAGTCTAGAGCTCACATCTTTACCAAAAGCGTGGTGACTACAACGGCTCTACAGACACTTGACTGCTGCCAGAGAAAACAGGCTTACGTCAACAAAGCAACCTCAGCACTTACAGGCCAAGAAGTTAAAAGGAAAACTTTACGCTCAAGCCTCTCAGGTGTCACGTTCACGGCTTACACTGCTTGCAAGCTTTGAGCTGCTTGTTCACTGCAACTTGGCGGTCGATCGTCTTGACATTGGATGGGAGGTGACTCATCCAACGCACTACGTTTCCACACGCAGCTTTGTGGTAGCTCTTGCCGCGCTTCGGCTCGCCAATGATGTAGACCTTGTCCACACCAGGATCAGCACGAGGATCATGAGGAACGTCCTGCGCCTCGTTCTCGACTTCGTTGTGCTCCTCCTGGTCCTCGCCGTCGTAGTAGTAGCTCTGGGTGTAGTCCTCGTTGGCTTGGCCTTCGTCGTCACTGCCGTGTGCACCCTCAAACGGACAAAGAAGCCAACTCTCATCACCACCGTCACGCGCTGCTGAACTTGAAGGCTGATTCGTTCTCCAACTGGTATCTTCGCATGTGCCGCCGGGCTCGCCGTTGTTAGCGAAGGGGGTCTGATCGATGCCATCCTCTATGATTCCCAACTCCCTGGAGAGCCACTGATGTACTCTGTCTCGCACTTGGTTCATGTTCTCGCGGGGAGCGGTGGACTCGCGATTCCAACGCCGCTTGGGCGCCATGTACATCACCAGTCCGATCATGCACAACATCACCACAAAGAACATTGCGAAGTGAAGCTTCTGCGCACTCAAGCCGAACAGGAACTCAACCCCCGAAGTCGTACTGGAAGCATGGCCGCTCATCTGCGCAAACTGGCCGGTCACAACTCCCCCCTCGAGCAAAAGTGCTAGAGCTCTAAGGATTTGACCTGCTCCCATGTTGGTCGCGATTGGCGTGGCACTAACTTGGTTCACCGTCACACTGTGGTTAGTGCCGAGGCCCATGAGACTCATGAGATGATTCATCCTGGTACGAGGGTGCGGCTTCGTCTGCAAATCAGCTGGGCAATCTTTGGTTGCAATGGCCTTTGTTTCATACACTCCTTCGTTGAGCGCTTTCTGCGCCCACAGGAACCCTAAGCTGATGTGTCGAGTCCTCCCTAGCCCTTGGCGTTGGAGGATACTTCGGGTAGCTGCGTTGTCGACCATGTGCACCAACTTTACCGTAGCTTGAGGACCAACCAAAAACTGCAACATGTGCTTAAGGAATATTCCCTCCGAGAGTCCAAGCAAGGTGGCCATCAGCTCGGACTCGGCAGAACTGAGGCTGATCGTCTTCTGCACTTTGTTACCTGCGTGGCACAGGTTGCCGTTGAGGAATATGCAGAACGAAGATATCGATCTCCGATCTGAGAAGGCTTGGCTTCCCCAATCTGCGTCAGTCACTACCTCCAACACATGGTGTGTTCCAAACGGCATGTTGGGATCTTCGGGTTCATCAGGATCTACACCGTCCCACTTCTGCTTCAAGGTCTTCCCTGGCTTGGTCTTCTCCAACCTAATCGGGATCACTGGGTGTAACTTGAGGCGCTTCACGACATGACGCGAAAGACCAAAGTCCTCAACGGTAGGAGAGCTATTCCTCGAAGACAACACCTTCACCATGTACTGCAAGTCCGGTCTCTCGGCACTCATGTACATGAGGATACCCACGCATCGCTTATAGAGGTGGAGGTGCTCGGAGTCTAGGCCCGCTCCTTGCCCTGGCGCGGGAATCTTGGGTGGACTCGGATTTTGCTTGCCGTGAGCTTTCTCCAAACCAAGGATTGACTGAAGCCTTTCTGCATACTTTGTATCCTGGGTCACCTCAATGGCGCCACCGAGCCCTTGGAACTTCTTTTTCAAGAAATGGGAACAGCCACTACCCAAGTCAACAGGGCCATCCACTTTCAATCTCAAGCCTCCAGCTTTGAGGTCATTGGCCAATTGCATGGGTGCACCCCTGGGTCCTAGAATTTGCATATCATCGACATGACTGTTCAGCGCCAACCTTTGCTCAATGCAGAACAGAGAAGGGTTGCCGATGAAACTGTTGAGGCCTTTGTTCTTTAGGATCCCGAGGAGGTGGGTGAACCAATCTTTTGCCCCTGCTCTCTGACCGGGTAGATTGTAAAGGAGTTCTAAGTCGCCGATGTGGGTCTGGATGTACGTGGGCCGCCTCTGTCTCACTTGCAAGTAAGCGTCGGTGATGTCGACGCTCAGCAGCTCCAGTGAGCTGTTCCCTGCAGCCAAACACGCAAGTAGTTTATGGCTACTGGACACCGAAGCAGGGCTATACAGGTCCGTCAGCGAGGGCTCAAGAAACCGGTATTCTTTTGCAACAAGCCGAGCACGACGCAACCAACCATTCCTATATCGCCAGTCCAGCACATACTTGCATTGAAGACGTACTTTCCCTTCTCTATCTTGCTCTCCATTCATCGGTCTCAGCACTGTCATGCCAAGGAGGCGGTCGAGCTCCTTGAGCTCCATCTGCTTGTCGAGGTCCGCTAAAGCCTGGGCTTCTAGCTCTCGCGGTCCCTCTACATACTCACGGCCTTCCCAAGGCATCCCTGCATCACCTCTCTCACCGTCCGAAGTTTCAGGAACACCTTCTTCTTCACCTGCAAAGCCCTCGTCGCAGTGTGGGTCCAAGGTCCAAACTCTCTTCAGGGTCGCACACAACGATGTCGTCTTCATGTCCATGTGGCTGCTCTGCATCAATCACGCGAACTGGAAACCACTCCACCCTTCCAACCTCCATGTCGGCTGGGATGAGCTCGTGTGAGCTATTGCTGGCAGCTCCACTCAACCCATCTAAGATGCTCTCTCCAGGGCTGCCTGCAGGTGCTTCTGAACTCGCCGAGGTTGGAGGATCAGTGGCAGCTTCGTCACCGGGTGGCGCAGCAGAAGGTGCTGCATCAACAAGCAACGGAACCCGTACTCGAGGGCCCCGGGGAACACGCATAGTGACCACATCTTGTACAGGATTCCAAAGAACACCGCGCATTGCCAACAAAGCATCTGCTTGATATACTTCAGCTGCTCTTCGAACTGTGCGTGCATACCCTATGCCCTTGCTGGAAGAGACGATGCTCAAAGAACCCATTGAGGAACGCCCGAGGTACACACACTTTTCCCATGGAATCCCTTTCGTCTTTGGTTTGGGCAACAGTTGGCAAAAGACGACTGACCCAAACGCTGCAATCTTTGCATCAAACTTTCGCCCATGGACCAATTCGAACGAGGTGACCCCATCTGTGTGAACATGGTAACGCGTCAGTAAGAAGGCTGCGTGCCTGAAGCTCCACTGGTACAACGGGTGGCTCGATTTCAACTCGACTTTCGAATTTGCAGACACGGTGTGCAAGAGGCAAAGACCAAGGCGGCGAACTTTATCTATGTAGCGCTCTGCTCTCAATCCCTGATGTTCACTGGAGTCGGGGTTTGCCGTCTCAATCTCAGTCTTTAACCCCAACCGTGTCCTAGCCATCTGCACCATCTGCAAAAGCTTCTTCATTGAAGGCTCGCTGTCCCCTCTAAAGGTGACTTGGTCAAAGCCGAGGATCGAAGCCATCTTGACCAGCTCCTCCACGGCAGGTTTGTTGTCCTCAGCTGCTTGAGAACGCACCGGCACACAGACCACGTACTTTGTAGTGTGGCACACTGCCACCAACTGAGTCGTCAAGGGGTGCTCATCATTCTCAGCTTCTCCTGTCCTATTGAACATCCAGTCTACCGAAATAACCGGCACTTCTCTCTTTGGCTGGACCTCTGGATGTGGATCCTCTCTCGAAAGGGCAGCTTGGCAGCTCTCACACCAATCGGCCCGAGGGAGGTGAGTCAGCTCGTGAAGCATGACGGTTTGAGCGTCGGGGCGTTGAGGAAGAGGGCCGTGATTGACGTCAGGGGTGTACTCTGCTATGATGGCATCACTTGCTTGCACGGCTGACTTGAGCTTGTTAAGCGCAATCTCTTTCTGCAAACGCGCCCACAACAAACTCTTAGCACCACTCTGCGGAATCTTCAGATAGCGGCACGCCCAACGAAGATCACGAAGGCTGGAGGTTTCACGAAACTCCTTGTCACCAACCTTCACTACTTCGCCTTCCAAAGGCACTTCCTGCATCTCCGGTCCGCCCACGGGCGCGCCTGGCTGTCGATCTCCACCATCTGCTTCTTCAGGTTCGGCAGCTTCTTCTTGAGACTCAGCAGGTAACCTGGGAACCAGAGGGGATTGAGGGTCAACGACAACTTTTCCCAGGTCTGTGGCAGCCAAGGCGTTCCGAGTCAACAGGGTCACGATCCTAGTCGGCTGGCACCCTATATCCACCACAGGCTTCAGCTCCCAATTCTCACCGCACTCGAAAATCTCAAACCTGTTCTCCTCTTTGTGCACCAAAGTCGTACGAAGAGGCAGGATCTCGGGGGTCATAAAGCTGGCTGGGGTCTGCAGTCACTGTTGAGCTCCACTGCACGTGTGTGGGCATAGATCCCGAAGTCACTTGCCAGCCTTGCCGTTTGAGTCCCGCCAGGAACTCGTCGCTCACCTCAAACACCACGCGAACACAGGCTTCTTCGGTCCTTAGAATGCGCATGGTGGCCGCAACAGAGTTTCGCGCAAAGTGGAGGGGAAACTCTTGCTCGCCCTTGCACATCACCACGACGCCGTCATCTGTAGCACTAGCTTTCGGATACCAGCCACCACGAAACAGCTTACCAGCGCATAACAACGGTTGCCGCACATTTGCTAGCACAGCTCGATCTCGAAACACAATCTCCCGACCATCAAGCCCTTGCACCACGAAAGAAACATTGGCTCTCTGCGACATTTGTGGGATCGGCGTGCCTTGGGCACCCAAGAGCCGGGTAGTCTGCTTCTCGGCCACACCGACGGTGCTGAAGAGATGCGCCGGGAGCACCGTGACATCAGCACCTGAATCCAAGATGACTTCACAGGGCTCGGAAGGGCCTGTAGGGCAGCACACCGCACGAACTTCACAGTCGCATTCGGAACTGCACTCTCGGAAAAACTCATCTCCACTGCTGTCACGATCAAGTTCGAAGCAAAGCGTGCTGGTGGAAGGGAGCTCGCACTCTAGCTCAAAGCACTCGAAGCTTGCACAGTTTACCTCTTCAAAATCAGCGCTTGAGTCACTATACCAACCATCACACGCACTGACTGCCCTGATATACTCATAGGCTTCAGCAGGAATTTCGGACTCATCCCACCAGCCATACTCATCCCAAGCTTCTTCACCCTCGTAAAAATCGAACTCCGAAACCAAAGCAGTGCTATGCCAAGCCCCAGTGTTGTCACCATCGTCGTCCGGAAGCTCCTCGATCAGAGGCAACGTGTCGAGCTCCATGCGGCAAACCTTGGCTGGGGCGGAGGTTGTTGTTGAAGGTGCTGTTGTTGAGGATGCCGTTCGGGTAGTACTTGAGGAAGCCCTAGTGCTCACAGAGGCGTTATCATCTTCGACTTGGTTCACGCGGCGATCTCTGCACTCAGCTGCTCGGTGACCCATGCGACCACACACAAAGCAAGGACCCTTTACAGCACCACCCTTCTTGCCCTGCTTGCCGCCTTCACTGGGCCACTTGTGACCCTTGCCTTTGTCCTGGTTGCCTTTTCCAAAGCCACCGAACTGAAAGCCCTTGCCAAAACCAGGTTTGCCCTTGCCGGTCTGGTAGCACCCCTTTTAGCCTTTTAACCCTTTTCCTTTGTCACCACGGCCCTTGCCCTTGCCGTCCTTTCCCTTCATGCCTTTGCCTTTCTCGACGCGGTCCACGTCCATTGGAGCAAGACCTTGCCCATCTCCTGGGTACGAGTTCTTATCGAGGCCTATGGCTTTCATGACATACTCTGTGCTCCAAGTTGTTGAAGTGCGCTCAAACTGTAGCAAGATGCCCCTCAGCTTCTGATAGGTCGTTGAGTCATCTATCTGCAACTGCAAGTAGCGCTTCACATCTTGGGGTAGGCCACTGAGGAGGGTCCCTATCTTTAAGTCGTCTGGGTAGGTCTTGGAGGAGGCCTTTTCACTCCGAGACCAGTTTTTCGAACGTGAGAGCATACTCTGAAACTGAACCGCCATCTCGAAGAGGTGGGAACTTGGTGAGGGCCTGTGCTAAAGCCAGCGTTCGGGGTCGAGAAGATGGCTGCAATTCTTCCGACAACTGCCGCCAGACCCTGAAGCCGTCGCCGCTTGCCACTGATCTCAAGATCTTCAAAGCACGGCCCTTCAAGTAGGAAGCAAGCACCGAATACAATCTCAAAGAACGCGCTCTCAAAGCCGGACTATAATCTTCGAAGGAAACCCACATCGTTGCAGTCTCAGCTTTCTCAAAGTCAGCTCTATATTCATCGTCTTGAACGGCCATGAAGTTCCGAAAGCTGAAAGACCAATCGGGCCAAAGAGCAACTTCTTCATCTAAGGTCTTAGCACTGAAAACCTCTGGGCTCTTGATCGGGCTCTTGATCCACTTGCTCTCTTTCCAAGGACTGCCACCAGACGACCCACTGGCTGCAGCTAGCTGAGAAACCGCTTCTGCCAAACGCCCCAAAACGATCTCTGGAGTCACAGCTTGCGCCGAAGGCGGTGTAGCCGCGGGCGCTGCAACGGACGCGCCGCCTGGGCTCGCCCCTCCATCATCTCCAGAAGCCACGAGCACTCGAGCACGCGACATGCGAAGAAAGTCCACTGGACTATGCTGGCACAAGCCAGGGCTCAAGATTGCTGCGAGCACTTAGGCACACAACAACCCACTACACTTCCGAGCTTGCACCTTCGCAAGCTCCGCTACCACAACAGAGCAACGCACACTTTTCAAAGCACGCTTGAGCCTACAGTCACGCACGTCGTACTAGTCTTGGAAAACAGTAAAAAGGGGTTTCTGCAAAGTTTGTTATTCTCTCTGCAACACGAATACGTGCGCAAACACACCAGCAAGCACTGCAAGCGGAACCGTGACCACGGATAGCAATCGTGACCACCCACGAGTGCAACAAACAGGCACCACAGAAGAACCCATAACAGCGGACTCCTTGATTTCGAAAGGCAGGTCTGCGAAATCGCGCCTCTGCCAGCACATGTATATACGCGCGTACTCATAGGTTGAAACACGCGCGAACACCGCAAACGGCGACTGCGACCGACAATTTCTGGCTTCTGCAACACACGTGTGTGTCTGCAATCGAATGTAATGACCCCAGATAGCAGCCAGCCTGCTGCAACACTAATTTAACTAATGGTCACTAATGTGTTTACCGACACATCCACACAAAAGACGGTAACAACGGGTTCCTTGTCTACGCAGCACACATTTGTGTGTGTGTGTGTGCAATCACGGGGACTGACATATGTGCGTCGACACACCCACAACAGAACTGGGACCACAGGCTCCTTGCTTCTGCTACACACATGTGTGCGTTTGCCGCCAACACATACAAGTTACGAAACAACCGCAAGCGAACCCTTGTTCTTAGTTTCTTTGGTTCTGCAGCACACAGGCGGCCCCACGCGTGTGCAATCACACACACACACACACACACACAAGCATCTCGAAGGGTTCCAATTTTCTCAATGCACATGTATGCGCAGTCTCACACGCACGAAATTATCACTTCATGACCACACTCTCCACGTGCGTGCGCGCAATCAAACACACCACAAGCACCTCTAGAAGATGCGCGACCATGTGGGTTCCTTACGCAGACGTGTGCAATCACACACTCAAGCACTGCAATCGGAAGAGGTTCCCTGCTTCTACACACACACATGTGTGCGTGCAGTCGTTCACGGACAAGCACCGTTTAGGGTTCAACGTTTTGGCTGGGGCTTCATAGGCTCCTGCAGCCCCGAAGACTGGCGTGTCCCTTGCTTACGCAGCACACACGCGCACGCGCAATCACGGCAGACGCGACGCACCCACACAGCAGTGCTTCTGCCACACACGCATGTGTACTTTCCCACAAGTACACATAAGTCAGGAAGAAACCGGCAGCGGACCAGCGACCTTAGCTTCTCTGGCTCTGTACAACACAGAGGCGGCCGCACGCGCGTGTGCAATCTCAACACAAGCACCTCCGAGGAGCGGTGACCCTGGATCTATGACTTCTCAACACACATGTGTATGCAGTCGCATAACTTCATGACCACACGCTCCAACGGCGCGCGAGCAATCAACAAAAGCATGCACCTCTAGCAGAGCCGCGACCACGCCGGCTCCTGGCTTCTCTGCAACACAAAGACGTGTGCGAACACACCAGCAAGCACTGTAAGCGGAGCCGTGACCACGGATTCGATGCTTCTGCATACACATGTGTTTGCAGTCGATCACACACAAGCACCGCAAGCGGACATGTCATGACAGAGTGCCTTTAGCATCTTAGTAGTTTAGTTCTGCAGCACAAATGAGTCTGCGCGTGACACCGCCCACCGGCAAACACAATGACCACGGATTCCTCGTTTCTGCAACACACATATGTGTGCCGGCAAACACAAAACCACCGCACAACACCGCATTCGCAACTATGATTGCAGGCTCCTAAAAGACACACACACACACACACACACGCACGCGGAACTGTGAATGTAAAGTCATATGACCACACATGCACCCGACGATGCCAGGCGGAACCGTTCCTTGAAAACACACGGGTGGCTGCTCAGGCACGATCAAATCGTCGCCACAAGCCTCACGCAGGCACAATGCTCACCGCGAGCAATCGTGACCACGCGTGCTCATAGACAGAAACGTGTGCAAGCACCGCAAACGGCAACTGCAACCAAATGGAATGACCCCAGACAGCAGCCAGCAGTCTGCAGCACTAATGTGTTTGCCGACACATCCACACAAAAGACGGTAACAACGAGCTCCTTGTCTACGCAGCAGACATGTGTGTGTAGAATCACAGGGAGTGACTCCAGCCACAACAGACATGTATGCGCCGACGCACCCACAACAGAGCTGTGACCACAGGCTCCTTGCTTCTGCCACACACATTTGTGCATTTACCGCAAACACATACAAGTTACGAAACAACCGCAAGCGAACCCATGGTCTTAGCTTGTCTGGTTCTGCAACACACCGGCGGCCGCACGTGTGCGCAATCATACACACAAGAACGCAGAAAAAGCGGCGACCACGGATGTCAATCTTCTCAACACACATGCGCGCACAGTCTCACACACACGAAACTATCACTTCATGACCACACTCTCCAGTTGCGCACGCAATCAAACTCACAACAAGCACCTCTAGCAGACCGCGACCACGCAGGTTCCGTGCTTCTTTGCAACACGCAGATGTGCGCAATCACACACAAGCAAGCACTGTAAGCGGAACAGTGACCACGGATTCCCTGCTTCTACACACACAGGCGCTTGCGCAGTCGACCACACACAAGCACCGCTTAGGGTTCAGGGTTTTGGTTGCATGGGGGTTCATAGGCTCCTGTACCCCTGAAGACTGGCATGTTCCTTGCTTATGCAGCACACATGCACATGCACAATCAGCAGACATTCGTCAGTGTCTGCCGGCAACTGACCGCGGGCTCCTTGCTTCTGCCACACAAACACATGTCTTTTCCCACGATGACAATTACGTACACACGAACCAAAAGTGGACCCGTGACCTTAGCTTCTCTAGGTTCTACAAAACAGCGACGGCCGCGCGTGCGCGATCATACAGACAGGCATCTCCGCGGAGCGGTGACCACGGATTTCTGACGCCTCAACACATATGTGCGCACGGTCGATTATGCACCACACTCTCCAGGCGCGCGCGCGCGCAATCAAGAAACGCAAGCATCTCTAGCAGAACCGCGACCAAGCGGGCTCCTTGCTTCTCTCTACAACACGAACGTGTGCAAGCCCACAAACAAGCACTGTAAGCCACTGTAAGCGGAACCGTGACCACGGCTTCGATGCTTCTGCATACACATGTGTTTGCAGTCGATCACAGGCACTGCAAGCCGACAATTAAAGTCATCACAGACTCCTTTAAGCATCTTAGCAGCTTAGTTCTGCAGCACACATAGGTATGCGTGTGACACGGCCCACCCGCAAACAATGACCTTGGATTCCTTTCTGCAACACACATATGTGTGCTGGCAAACACAAAACCACTGTAAGCGGAAATACGATTACGGGCCCCGAACGCAACACACATAAAAACACAAACACACACACACACACACACACACGTGCGGAACTGTGACCACGGGGTCTTGTAAGTCTGATCTGCAGCACGCATGCACCTAAAGTCATATGACCACAAATGCGCCCGACGACGCCAGGCGGAACAGTTCCTTGCAACACACGGGTAGCTGCTCAGGCACGATCAAACACTGTCGCCAGAAGCCAAG